AAGGGTACCTCTAATAGAATAATAACAACAATTATTCTATCAAAGAATCGAAGGGGAATAATACTATTTATAAAATTTAAACAGGGCTATCTTCGATTTGTTTGTCGACTAGTCGGTATCCGTCACTTGTCTTTACTATTACCAAAGCTTAGTATTAAAATAAAGCATACACACCATCTATATAGCAAGTGAAAATAACAAACGCAGTCTTTTACTGTAAAGGAAGTTGCTTTCATTGTAAATGTATTAATACAGAAATGTTCTATTCATATGCAAAGAGGCCAACCTACCATTTATATTTCGTCTAAATCTATGGAAAAAATACAAGCTTATATATTACCTTATTTTTGTAATTACTGCGAAGCATGTCATTAGCATGATGGCTAGTTATTATGAAATTGGCTAACTCATTGAGGAACAACGACAAAATAAAAATATCCGGGTTTTTTGTTACACACTGTAAATATTAATTGAGTTGTTTTCCCCATTTTAATTGTTTCAGTTTTCATTTCATTTATTGTCAAATTTAATCTATTTTATAATTATAATAGTACAGTGCATTTACAATTTTCGGTGTGTAATTAATTAATTATAATGCCAAAGAGTTTCTCTCTGTTCTTTAAGTTTTTTCTTGTATTCTCGTATGGACTCATTTTTCGCGTAGTAATATATTAGATATGGAAAGAAATCGCGTCGTTGTCTTTGCTTCCGTGTAAGCATACACATCTCTAATTCACATATGAACTATATATATATGATCAGATCGGTTAATATTCAAAGAGAAGATCAACAAGGCGTCACATTAATTATTCAAACGTTTAAGGTTTACCTCTGCTTTCTGCTTGAGCCAAACATAATTACCAACAACTTTGGAATCACCGACAACATCACTCATTAAGGCAATCAAGATGTTCAATAATATAATTGCGGTTATGAACGAAAATGCGATTGTCATTAGTGCAATTGTCGGATTGCCAAACGCATCACTAACGGAGCCAAAATCGCCTGTCTATTAATGGCAAGAAATTAGTTAAAATATATTTGCGCAATTTAACAAGAACCGGATTCTCAAGTCATTTATTTACCACGAAGAAAAAGGCCGAAACGAGCGCTCTTTGAGGAGTCGAAAAGTCGTTAATTGCCGGACTATCACCTACCAAGTCCGTAACTTCCACGTCGGAAAAGAACAGCCAGTACATGTGTGTGTATGCAAACATCATCATTGCAATTATGATAACAAGCCCTTTCACTCTTTTAAATATTTCTATGATAATAAATATTGGTATCCCAAAAGGCTTGAATACTCGGAGTCGTAGAATCTATAATAGAAACGACAAGTTCGGTTAAATGATTTGTTCGAATGCAACATCAGATTAACTCAATTGTAAATGCTTACAAAATTAACATAGACAAAGAACATGGAGGTGCCAACATATCGACGTCGCCAATCGCTTCCAGAAAGTACCCCAGCGGCATAAATTATTGGCAATATAGTACTGGCCAGGTCAATGAAATTATATATGCCCAAATAATGAGAACGATATGCAACCATTTGCATCACTTCAACTCCAAACCGTACGAATCCCAATAACAACACCACAATCGAGAACAATATAATCAGATATTCGATCCCGTTCCTTTGATGCACTCTGCCAGAATCTAGAGTAACGGCAACCATGAATGAAAGAAGGTACAGGAAATATAAGAAAATAAAAATGACATATCGTCTCCATGCAAATTTCCTCCATTTGAAATTAATAATAGCCTCCAAGGCAGGTTCGCCAAACATTTCATATTGACCATCGAGAACCGCCTTAGCAAATGGAGAGAGGTATTTGCGCCATCCAAATACATTAAGAAATCCGAGACGAGATTCGGGTGGCTCTGGATATCGGGTGAAGTTCGGCAAAGGGACAAAACATACATTATATAGATGACTGTTAGAGTCTGTTTCATCGCCTACATCTTCCTTATATACACCATCATCAGTCTTTTCCGTGTCTGAGTAGGCAAATTCCTCTTCTTTATAGCTCAATACAGTGTTCTTTAACCGGAAGTAACTGATATCTTGCACAAATTCTAGAGCAATGTCAGCGAATTTTGAACACAGTTGGCTGAATGTAGAAACAACCACTAGTAGGTTAAACTCAGGGTTAGGCTCCTCTGCCGACCTCTTATTCTCCGCACTCTTGCAGTAATATTGTAATAATGAACGGACAATCTTGGTTCTACCCAACGATATAGCATGAGAGAGATCTGACTCATGTTGATGCTCTGGTTCAAAATCATAAAATTTCAGAGTAATTTTTTCTTTTTCCAACAATTCCTCAATCAAATTGTTGGCTCGTTCACAATCAAATTGCATTAAAATTTTCAAGATTGATCCTTTTCTCCATGAGAGTGTAAATGGTTTGTCATGTGATCTGCTACTTGATTCAATACTGCCAAAGTCTTCAACGTGATCGAATACATCGCCATCGGAAGACGAAAGAGCACGGTGGATAATCGATTGACAATTGTCAAGAAGCGTTTCATAACGCCGACAATCATCTTTTGACTTGTGTTCAAATGAATTCAAAAATCCAAGCGCAAACGATGCATCTCTTACTGTATGGAAACTGGCAGGAGCATTCTTACGCGGCAAGTGGAATCTCAATTTTATACTATCACTGATGCCATCCACTCTGTATTCGAAAGTGATAGTAAAGTCATCGTCTGGTAGTCTCGTCAATTCTGCCCATTCAATAACATAGTCTTTAATGAAATCTTTTTCTCGATTTTGCTTTATAATTGGTCTACACCAAATATACTGCAGTGTTCTATTTTCTGGAAAGTTAGACCATAACTGTATCGTGTGTTTACCAATGAACAGTACCCGGCCGTTTTTATCATCCAGTATGACCGCTGTTTTGACACGAGGTGCGATCCATGGCTCTATTACAAACTGCTTAATAGGATTAATTACTCCTGCTTCATAATGTGTATATGAAATCACTTTGTTACGGCCTTTTTCTTCAAACTCATGCATTCTCCTTACTCTTCCCCTGGGAGGAACAGGCGGAGGAACAGCGGGGGAAGGAGAACCAGCGGAGAAAGGAGAACCAGTCAGAGAAACAGGTGTCGGAGAAACAGTGGTGAAAAGAGAAACAGGCGACGGAGAACCAGGCGGAAGATCAGGCGGAGGAACAGGCGGAGGAACAGGCGGAGGAACAGGTGTCGGAGAAACAAGTGTCGGAGAAACAAGTGTCGGAGAAACAAGTGTCGGAGAAACAAGTGTCGGAGAAACAAGTGTCGGAGAAACAGCGGGGAAAAGAGAACCAGGCGACGGAGAACCAGGCGGAGGATCAGGCGGAGAAACAGGCGGGGAAACTCTTCGTTGTTCTACTTCGCGAACGGCCAGTTCTGCCGGCGCTGCAACGGACTCCGTACTTTTGTCTATCCCGTTCACAGATTCGGGATTTGTACTGCTATCAACGTCTTTCGCCGCCGTGATAAAACTAGGGGCCGAGTCCACATTTTCTGGTAGCATTTCACTCACGGTGAACTTAAATTTCGGCTTATTCAAAGGGTCCTCAACAATGGCCTCAATCGAGGGATTTTTTGATTCAAAAAGTTCGACAGACATAAAACTGTCATCATCGATTTTATATCTCTCGGCAATAAACTTCCGGGCGCATTCGAGAACCTCTTTCTCCAACTGAATATCGTTTTGCAATTGAGATCTCAACCAAGAGCTTGCCTTAACAGAGCCATTATACCAATCATTTCCAAAATCAGCGGCAACTAGTTCCCAATACTGCAGAGTTACCGCAGTGGCCCTAACTCGGTCTTCGATGTCGTTCATACGTTCACTACTGAAATAATCCTCCAGATCTGTAGAAAACTCTCCTGAATTTTTATATCCATAGAGGCCGGCCGTCTTCCCGCTAAGAAAGAAAAACCCCAGTTTTGATTGATACTTTAGAAATCGCCCAACAATTTGTTCGATAACTAAATGCAATAGTTGTTAGATGTATGATAAACGACTGAATCGATCCACGCGTGTTTTAAAAACGAGGGAGGAAAAAATAATTACCCGATGGATGCAAAACGTTCTCTTGTTCTTTAGAAATAGTAACGTTAAACCTATCCATGATAAATTTCTTCGCGATATCGTATAAACGCTCTTCTACATCTATGAAAGGAACTTGAGAACTAATCCATTGCTCCGAACTGTTAATGGGCAGCGTCCATTCACTTTGGAAATTCCAGTAAAGAATCTTAATGTATGTGACAATCAAAGCTGTAGACCAAACACGCATGTTTACGGACATTAGTTGTTTGTCAAACATAATACGTTCTGCTAGGACGTGAAAAAGATCCGTTGCCGATTCAAAATTAAAGTAGCAAGCTAAATTGTTGCTAACATCAAAAGCACGAGCATTAAATGTCATGCCGATAAGACGGTACAAGTCATCAATGTCAATGGTGTCCTTGCTGTGGTCACTTTCAAGTCTAGTAGAATAGAATTGAACTTCAACTCGTATTATGCACTTAAACCCCTTTGGATAATTGATTTGTTCACTTTTTTCCAAGCAAATTCTCCTACTGTATATTCTCTTTGAATTGCGCGTAATTAAATCATTTAGCGGCAATAAAAATTTTCCGACACTAATATCAGATACATTTTTGTCGAGAATTTCAAGAATAAGTTGACCATTTGCATTACGTACTGGTACGCAATGTATTCCATAGACGTTGTTAGCTGTGTACGCAGGCGTCTCTTTTTTAGCAGCTCCCTGTGAGTCAGCCTTGAAAATACGGACACAGAGACTGGAGAAAAGAACATCCTTTACTTGATCGATTTTAACTCTGAGGATGCCAACTAATTCAGTGTCACTATCGTCATATTCTTCTTCGTATAATTCATCATCCGATTCATAGTCATCGTCATATTCAAATTCTTCAAATTCATCCTCTTCTTCAAAATCGTCAAATTCATCTTCGTCTTCAAATTCTTCGTCACCACTATCCTCCTCTTCGGTTTTGGTATTCTTACTTGTCTTGAAAGACATATCCTTTTGTAAAGTCTCTTCACCAACTGGATATCGTTCATAGACAAATATTCTCGCATGCTCAAGTAATTCTTTTTTAACTTCCTTTTTGCCAATTCGCGCGCTCAACCACATGGAAGACTTTTTGTAAGCATCTGCCCACTTGTCGCGGTGATCAACAAGTACATAGCGGAAATACCATAGAAGAACTGTTGTGACGCATATGTTCTCACCAAAGTCAATCGGGTTCGATGAGAAGTAAGCTTGCAAACTTTCTCGCGCCACCTCTGCTGACTCGTACCCGAGAAATTTCGCAAGACGAGCATCGAGCACGTAAACACCGTCTTCGGTTTGGTGTGAGAGTATACGTCGAATGTCTTTATTAGTAACAAGTGTTGTATCAACTTCGTCAGTCTGACTTTCGCTCTCGGGGATATTAAAGTGTTTGATAATATAGCGCTTTGCTTCTTTATATAAGTGTTCTTCAACTTCTATGTCATTAATGGATTCAGTAATCCAATTTTCCGCCTTTACGTATGATGTTATCCATTCTGCTTCATGTTCCAATAAAACAATCTTAAAAAACGATATGACAAAAACCGAGACAATGATGGATTTGTCAAAATTCTCCTGAAATGGTTGGATTAATTCCTCGACGGCGGTTGAAAGGTTCAAAAGCTCAGCCAAGCGATCGTCGACTTCAAACGATCCTGTCTGACATTGGAGAGACAAAATGAAATAGAGATGGTCTAGACCAATAGAGGGAGTGTCCAACACTTTTCTGAAATAGTCGTCATCAAGAGAGATAAATTCCACATCAAATCGAAGTCGACCAGTGACATTGCTCTTGTATCTCAAATCAACATCTCTCTTTTCACGCTTGGCTTCATCTGCTTCACGAGCTCGAACCACAACTTTGTTAACATCCAGAATGCACGCGCCCAATGGAACGTTCTCAAAGAACGCGTTATAGTCATTTACTTTTAGCTTTAGCTTCTTATGCTGGTCATACAACGGGATATAAAAGACTTGCTTCCAGACGGGCTTTTTACTATTGTACACAACTTTGGTCTCCCCGTAACTCCATTCAGTAGCTAAATCAATAATCGTTACATATGGATCCAAGTCACCACCTGCTAGCCAAAACGAACCGAGCGCCTGATCGATGGTTGCACTATCAATATGCAAACGGATTAAGCCGATTAGGTTAGAAGCGCCTATATAATTTATTTGAGGTTAGTACAATTCTATGATAACGCTGGTTCTCACGTAATTCCCTCCCTCTGTTGTTAAAAACACGTATTGAAATTACCGATGCCGTAAGTTGGCGTACAACGATTCCATTGATTCTTCGCCAACACACCAGCCGAAGCTTTTTCTGCTAGCAACCTTCCGGAATGGATTAAATTCTTCCTGAACGATGCTTCGAACTGAGCATCCATTCTCAATACTTTCTCATCAATTTTGTAAAGTTCCGCTATAAGTGATTTTGTAAGCTCGAATGCATTCTTTTCAACCGACTCCCTAGCTTTAAACTGAGCATATAACCAGCTGTACGAGATTTCATATCGAGATAGCCATTCAGATCGATAATCAATTGCTACTAAGCGCCAAAAAAGGAGAATAAAAATGGTGGGCCAAGTATTAGCATTCATACGCGCCAATCTGTGTTTGGAAAGCTTATTTTTGAGTGTCATAACCGTCGAGCGGAAACGTTCTTCACTGTCAAATCCAAGAGACAAGGCGAGTTCATTATTAATAAAAAAGGCTCCAGTTTTGTGTTGGTTGTTGTTGATAGTCTCGATGTGAGCTTTGGTGATGTTGTTTTTGGGAATACTGAAAGGAGCTTCAAGCGTCATCGCAATATTTGGGTATTTCTCAAGAATAAACTTTTTGGCACCTCTGAAAACATCAGCTTCTATTTGAGTGTTCCCTAATTTATCATTTAGCCAGGCAGACAACTTTTCATAGTATTTATTCCAGCAGTTCCTGTAGTCAACAGCTACCAGTTTCAAATACATGGCGGTGATAGCAGAAACTTGAACTTCTGAGCCAACTTTGCTTGCAAAAGAGTTGCCAAAGTATTCTTCCAATGCGTTGAATCCATAGAAAGCAGCAATTTTGTTAGTGAGAGGGAATGAGCCGCTTTCGGACTGAAAAGTGAGTAATTTGACAACGGTTCTGATGGTGATATCTAGAAAAACAAAAAGTCAATAGTTAGTTCAATGGATTATGGTCTGTAATACAAGTAAGTACAGATTCTATCTCATTTACCGGATTGCAATTTAGTATCAGTGCCCGTAACTCTGAATCTATTCATAACAAAATCCTTTGCTATCTTTGATAAATGTATACATAAGCCAACGTCATGAAGCTGATTTTCAATCCATGCGCGCAATTTAACGACATACGACTCCCATTCGGTTTTATATCTCGAGCAAACGAGTTTCATGTATGCAATCACAAGAGCAGTGGCCAATACGCGGTTATCTTTATCGAGCTTAGCAATCTTGTTATAATAAATCTGGCGATCAGGAATCTGACCATGCCATTTCTTGAAGCTCGTCAGTAACTCCTGATGATTTTCAAAGTTGAATATTCGAGCCAACCTGTCATCCAAATCATACGAACCGTCAGAACGCTTCCACAAAATGATTGCGTAGAGATGGCAGATCTGTATGTTCTGTTCGCTGAAAGTAAAGTTTTCGTCAATTGTCAGATGAGCCATTGGGATGAATTGAGCTTCTATGTGAATCTCGCTCTCGGTCTCCCTACCATCAACACTCTTAATTTTCTCCCATCTATCAATGTCTTTTATTTTTCCAATCTGATTCTTTGTAAACAGCTCATTGATATGTAGTTCGTAGGAGCCAAGAGGAGCGGTGCTAAATATAGACCTCTTGTTAACACGGAAAGTAATCGTGTTATTCGATCCAGACACGGGAACATAATGTACTTTTTCAGTTTTTTCAGATGACGTTATTTTAGCGACTTCATTCTCAGAGGCGTCAACAATGGTAACAGATAGATTCGATTGAACCCAACCCCTGACACAATTAGGCGTGACCGTGAGAACAAGAAGGCCCTGACCAATGACAAGATCTTCCTGCTCCTGCGAGTCAATTGTCAATTCGTCAGTTTTATAGTCAGAGAAAGTTTCGTCGTCTATTTCTCCTGGCTCGAGATTATCGTCCAATAAACTCGATACATTAGCATTAATAATGGATGGAAATTGCTTGCTATAGTTGGCGTACGAACCGGTGCCTGTTGGTTGGAATACTGACTTTGGCTCTATCTGTACATAGTCATCGGTATTGGCAGCACAAGTATAGGCGTTCCGTATTTGCATCCCATCAATTGCGTTGATTATCATTACAGATTGATCCCCGCTAGTCCATATTATTCTCGTCTCTCCCGCAAATTTGGTGTTGCGGCTCGCCGTTGTAGAGGAAAGTACAGCACCGCCTTCACATAAAAAGATTGCAAGTGCTCCTTTTGAGGTCCATGCTGCAAGCTTTTTCTTCTTGTGGGATAGAGCAAACACGGCCGGTTCTTTATCAGCATTTAGGAAAGAATTATCTGACGGGCATCGAATGGATGTTATCAGTTCGCATTTAGATATCGACCAGAGTGATGCTAGTTTCCACTATGAAATAAATTGATGCGTTAATATTAAGAGTGATCCAGTTCGTTTTCAATGCTAATATAGTTATACTCACATTCTCCACGCATATAAAGTAGTCTCCAAGTAGCGAGTTTTTCAAAAATTTCACCTGGTCCCATGGGTGATATATGCTTTGCAGGCTAATCGTAAATTTGTCGTAAATACCCGAAAGATTCTTTTTTCCCAATTTCCAGTTACGTGTCGAGAAGATATAAAGCAATTTCTTTCGTGTATTGTGTACGTCGCACACAATGAACTTTGTATTGTCGGAGGAAAACTTAATCGCTCCGTTTAGATTTGTCAAAGTAGACTCGGTTATAGGACGTGAGTTGCCAGTATTGACGACATATGTGAAAAACGTGGCGCCAGTTTTTAGTTCAAAAGGTTCCGGACCTTCACATTCTTGTGGAAGTCTAATTGCACTAAGAGCTACAAAGCTACCTACAAAGCATAATAGTCTCGATATTAACTCGGATGATTTATCTTGGAGAAAATAGAATCGACCTTACCTTTATTAGCTAATGCAAAGTCAACATCACTCATCATTTGTTTCGAATCGTTCGATGAGTTAAAGCTTGTCTTCTCCACTCTATATGCTCTTGGCTTCAAAAGAGAGTCATTGTTCTGCCAGTTGTATTTTTTCCCTTTCCTCTCCAGTGTAGCTACATTCCATACAGTTATTACACCCTCTGTTGCCGAATATGTGGCCAGATGGCATCCATCTGGTGAGAATGTACATGCATCTATGTGTATAGGTGGTGGTATTTGAGCGTCAATGTCAATTCGAGTGTCATTAATATCACTCATCATGGATAATTCATGCAGAGTGATCAAACGTTTAAATTTATTTGGTTTATTTTTAGGCGAACAAACTAGTGATAATAACCATAAATTATTCAAAATAATATAATTAAGTTCTTAACGTTTACCGTTTTTATACCGATATCGTATGAATTTATATGTTTAGCTTGCCTTCGTCATTCAGCATACTTATTATTATGCCAAGTAAAATCATGCAAGGGGACGCCACAAACAATGTCGTAGTAATACACAGTCAGTCTCGATAAGTCGGTTTTGGCTTAATATTAAGTCGGCCAAAATTTTTCGGCTCTTTTTTTCACCATTTAAAAATTCTCGATAAGGCGACCAACCTATGTAATTTCTCGATAAGTCGGCCAGCGACGCCAGCTATCTTAGTTGGATGGTGTCTCGATAAGTCTGATTTCACGTGACAATTTTTAAGACGTATACATTCAATCCGACAATGCCAATACGATTAAAGCAATAAGCAAGTCGATTGTCTAAGACAAGCTAGTCTGCAAGATTATTTTGCGATGTAATTATATAATAATAATAAGGAATTTATCTGGCAGGTCGCACAACCTGACACGTCGTACAGTCCATAATATTTCTATTTATGGAGGAGAAGGATAATATTTGAGCCTGCGCGACCTGGCTGGTTGTGCGACCTGCCAGATAAATTCTGGTAATAATAATAAACGGTTTAAGCTACTGATAGCCGACTTATCGAGACTAACTGTGTAGTTGTTGCTGGAATTGTAGTAGTAGTGGTGGTGGTGGTAGTAATTGTAGTAGTTGTTGTAATTGGGGACTATCAAACTGTATGATGGCTATCTCCCAATGACATATGATATTAATATCGGTTGTTTATGGGCTTGGGAAAAAGAGTGCACAGATCTGCAGTGAATGTTCGCAAACAAATAAATCTGGATACAGATTTCCGAGAATGGTACGACCAATTACAAAACAGCAACCCTTCTTGTTGCTATTATTATCCCTTCAAAAGCATCCCACTATCGTTGTATCTGCTAGTGTAACCAAAAAACTGACTACTATTCATTGATGTACGACCACATTACATAGATACGATAATCTCGTTTTACATAATGTGCAGGGTTGCACTGACGGTTGTGAAACTAATTAAATTCCAAAACAATACTAAACAAAAAAGTGAGGGCTCACACATTCAATGGCGGTCGGACCTTAGGTCGGACTTGATTTCTGTGCTTCTACTAATACATTTTTCGGGAGGTTTAGAAGTCTTTATTAGGTGTGTTTTTCGTTGAAGATTGCATTCATTAGGTGTTTTTTTTTCTCATGACTCACTCCATCTGTTACACACGGGAAGTCCGAAGCGAGAAAAAAAAAATACGACTTTAGTATAAGATAACGGAACATCTTACAAACGCTTTTGTAGCATCAAAAGTCCCTGTGTTCGTAGCAGTTAACATATGAGGTTAATGTCCATTATAAACAAGAGCCAACGAATTATTTGCTATCTATATTTAGTGCGCCAATGAACAGAAGCCCTGATAAATGCATTAGAATGTGGTCATTGTGGTTCAAAAGACTCGTATGATTGTGTCTATCGGCTTTCAAATAAATGAGTCTCGATGGTTAGGATTGTGCAAGGAGTAAAAAACATACTAATGTTACCTTTGAAATGATAATAAGGGTTGCAAGTACAATATTGGAAATTTTTCTGCAAGATAAGGCACGGTTGCAGAATATTGTTCATGCAGTGTCAATTTCATGAAAAAGGCAAGACCTATAGTTATGTAACAAGGACGAAGAATAGCACAAAAGGCACAAAATGCCATTGAAATAGAACGTTCTCATTCTCGAAAATTTTAAACCAATGATTTTTTTATTAAATTCAACTTGCAGGATAATTATTATCCCACTAAGTGGAGTCAAATGGAATAACGCAAGATTTAACGAACCCTTCTGAAATACTCTATTTCCTTTTAAAGCTTTATTAAAAGCCACAGATAAGGTAACAAGATAAGCGTTCATACTAAATGTACAATTGAAGTATGCCTCTAACAATGATTCGTTAATTGTAATGTAGCAGTGAAGTGAAGAAAAGATAGAAGCAGTCAATCGAAACAATATGCAACTTCTTATACAGCTCTATGTGTCATGAAGACTGCTATTCTATCTATCGTATTTGAGCATATGATAAATTTTTGTACTTTGTCACAAACCAGGGCCATCAAACGCTTTTGAAATACCTCGACAATAATGGCGCTGACATTGTTTTTACAGTCACCGCAAAAAATCTAGGTTACATAAATACTAAGCGCCATAGTTTTTTCGAGAGTTAAATTATTGCCAGCTCTCTAGACACTTCAGATAGCATATAGTTACACTCGGTTGATTATAAATAAGATTCTAATACTACGAAATAAATAATCGTTATCTGACACTTATGCAACGAAATACAAGTAACTCATATCATCGGAGTCAGCCTCCGGTTCAGTAAATTACGTCATCCATTCCATACTCGGAGGTTGGTGATGATGACAATGCATGTGTGTCAAGTGAGATAACAATATACGTGAGTGGTTCAAAAAGTTCTTGCCGCCTGGCTTATTTCAAAGTTACATAACAATTTAAAACTGACTAAACTATTCCTTCAAAATACATTATACACTTTTCCACAAACTTTCAAGAGACTTGTTCCTGTTGATGAACGGAAGATATCTCAGCTATAATCATTTGGGCGTAACTCGTGATCTTCCATTTCAAGTATGACATGTTCATCTTTACTTCTTCGAGTTACTGATTTGCAGATTTTTACAGTTTACTAACCAAGTGGATATTCGTGCAACAAAATCTAAACATGCTTTAACCTTATTCGTATTAGCCATAAGTAAATAATTTTTTCCTTTCATATACTTTTCCGCCACTACTGTTTTTTCTTTTCTTTTCTTTATATTGTGGCGCATCGACCTTTCGAAAATTTTGTGCCTGTCAAAGTTTTGCTGTCGCTTAAAATTCTCTTTCAAAATTAACCAATGATTGCTACTCTACTTTTTGCGTATGACAAATCTTGCGTTTTAAACCTTGTTCTTGCACGCCATCAGTAATTTTTATTAAAAGGGCCTTCTCAACAGCTCGATGTCCCGATCAAATTGGAAATTATTGCCTTAAATAGGTAGGGGCACATCAAGGGGTATCGGTATCAGTTTGATTCCCCTACTTGGAAGGGCATCGACTAAATTGGAAATTGTTTATTTTTCACATGAACCTTATTGATTTTATCTGTCACACAAACCCTAACTCTATTTAGAGGCTGTTGATAAATGATGCCCCTACTTGTATACGTTGTATCAAAGCTGTTGAGAAGGCCCTCAATCTCCATATATGATCGTATATTAATATATACTCGAAAAACTGACACTATTGTAATTTCCTTCGATTTCAAATCAATTTCTATATAATCGCAAAAGCGATAAAATTTTTCTTATAAATACCGATTCGTTCAGTTATCATTTTAACGAATCTAGTCTACACCATGACACAGAGAGTCCAAATCGCTGATTTACCTGCTTTGCAAGAGTATGAAATAATTATAGATTCTCCATTGTTTTCTCTTTTACCCGAATCATGTACTACAACCGAAGCAACATCAATAAATCCTCAAGAACACAGTTACCTCTAATGAATCGTTTTGCTATTACTGTTGACAAAGCTCGGGGATGATGCTACCAAAAACAGGACTTTTTCTTGATGAACAGTTTTTTGCTCCAGGACAGGCGTATCGTATGTAGCATTAAGTCGCTTGGATAATATAACTGTTGTACCTCAGTTGGGGACTTGTCTCAGTTCTGGAACGAGACAACTGAGTTCTGGACTGATTGTCTGGATTCGGAACTGAGACAACTGAGTTCTGAACTGAGACAGGTCCCAAACTCAGACACAATACGCTTTGAACAGAGAAGCGTTTAGTGTGGATAGGGTGTTATTATTACGGAAATATTCGAGACTACGACAACGCGCTCAACAGACCCCATTCGGTAACTGTAACCTTAATAAATATTTACTTCATAGTCAATATATCATTCCGCAAGTACTGTATATTTGTTATAATACTATATTTATTTAACGCTTACTGCTTTCAGTTAGCTGTGTTATTATAAATATCTTATTTATATAAATAAATAATATGTTGTGTCAATGTTTATCTTGCGAATATGTACTTACTTGTTTTAGTCGACTATGATAATCGGTCAATCTACCGGCTACTGTTCGTCTACAACATGATATTTGATGCTGATATATGGAAACGAGCAACATCACCTATAACAGTATTCTTCCACATTAATGCCAATTTCCTTTAATGAATTGCTTTGCAACAATAGCTCATCCGTCTTTTCTTGATATTCGCAAGCCTATATGAGTCGAGCCGTGCATCTTGCTTACGTGATGTAAACATTCATTCTTTGAACAGAAACTATTTACTGTAGACATTTGCACATTGGTTTAATGAACAATAAAAAAAATTCAATGGGCTTTTTCATAATATTTTTAAGTAAACTCATTTTGGGCTGGGCTAACACTTCTGTGTATCACAATAAGTACTTACCCCCTGCTTATGTCACCATTAATTCGGCCCCATCAGAATTTTAAGAGTTGTCAATAAATTATTGGTTATAGATCAATCATAAGGTGTCAATAGCGGCCAATAAATAGTCGATTATCGAAATCTACAGTACATAATATAATTACATTCTCAACCCAATCACTACTACTAATAGAAAGACATACATACAACTCGATACCACTTGATCAAACAGATAACCGAAACAACTCGTGAATATCAAATAGCGCAATGTCTTGCATCAGCGTACTCACACGAACTTTGTATATTACATTATATTACGTAATATTTACTTGACCTACTAACCAGCATTTATTATGCAACTCCAACTACGCAGTATTTTATATAACTCATTCTTCGCGAAGTTCGTCATTTCATAGCGACAACCCCGACCCTTTAAACTGCGACAACGATAACGCTTCCGACGTATCAAAATCATCAGTCAAATATATCAAAACTCCCCCGCAACGAAAACAAACCATATAATAATACGTTCATATCACACGATATGTGTGAAGTAAGTAAAAGGCCACATCATTAATATAAATTTCCATTCGCTAATTTACTATAACATCATAATAATACCTCAAGATTATCAAGTAGAACAAAAAAAAAAAAAAGGATCGAAGCTAATAATGACAAGGAAATGGAAAATCAACGAAAGTCAATTATATTGTGAAGTTCATCACTTCGAGTTCTGAACGACGACGCCACATAACATAACTTGTCGCATTCACTTGTAGATGTTATTTGTTGCATAAATCATCTCATTAACTAACATATTATTCACACGGATTTGTATAAATATTACTTTATAATATGTACTGTATATATTGTTATTTCAACATACAACTATCATATCATTGTTACGACCCGTTCTAGGATTTGAAACGGGTTGACCCATATTCGGTTTTTTGCAAATTTGTGATAATCTACGAAAACTTTTTTATCACTGTAACACACACTAACAGATATTTTGTAGACTATCCCAAATATGTATAACAAGCTCTTTTTTTTACTTAACGTTATTTCAAAGCCACATATCACTTCATAATGTATCAATAATAATAAACCCCCGTACAAGCGAATTTATTATGAATAGCAAATATGAATAACATAATAATAATAAAAGTTTCTAATTAGTTGATGCTTTTATCAACTAGCAGTTATTTGTTAACATTGTATAAAACAGATCACATCGCACATATTCTCTCTAACACACATTTTTTGAGTAATAGAATTTTCGTTTCGCCAATTTGCATTATGCTGAACGCTCGCAGCACCCAGTGTTTATATTTGCACTTGCTCAGGAAATAAGCATGGGCTATGTATTTGTAGTCACTATCCGGCTGAATTCTCAGATCGACATGGCTTGCAGATATTGGAGTTCATCGACTTGTGCAGAAGCTACATGCATTGACAAAGGCGACAACTAATTTTCTAGGAATGTATCCTTGAGCTCGTCGAATGTCTTTCCGTCCAGCGTGTTGCAAGTTTTCATTCACAGAACCGATTGCATCATACATATTAATATATATCCTCTCTAACGCACAGCTGGTTTTTACTTTTTTTGAGTAATAGGGTTTTCGTTTCATTATACTGAACGTGTTTATACTTTATCTGACCGCAAGAACTTCAATCGATTCTTTGGTCAGAATGGCTTTGCGTGATGCCCATTCATTTAATATTAAAGGTGTTATTAGAATGAACATTGTTAGTATTATTGTGAATAGTATGCTATGTGTATCACTGTGATAAAAATTTTTCTGTAGATTATCACATTTTTGCAACGCAAAAAATGGTTCAGGATCATGGGTCATAACATTGACATTATTATTGCGCATTATGAAGTGATATAATCGAATATGTTGATTATCACATGCAACAATTCAAATTCAATATAATCCCATCAAGATCCATTCTCAACCAAGAAAAAACCAAATCACTACTACTAACAGAAAGATGTTCATACAACTTGCTTGATCAAACATATAACCGAAACAACTGCTCATGAATATCAAATAGTGCAATGTCTTGCATCAGCGACTTTGTATAAATACAGTATTACTCTATATTATGTAATGTTTACTTGACCTTATATAACGTTATTTTAGCACGCAATTGTTATATTTGATGTTCACAAATAAAAAACGCAAGCATTTTATATAACTCATTCTTCGTGAAGTTTGTCATTTCATAGCGACGACCTGACCCTTTAAACCGCGACAACGATAACGCTTCCGACGTATCAAAACCATCCCCAAAATCCCCACAACCCAACCATATCATCACCACTAACCATCAATAATAATACGTTCATATCACACACGATATGTGTGAAGTAAAAGTTTGCCACATCATAATAATACCTCAAGATTATCAAGTAGAACCTCGTCAACAAAAAAGGATCGAAGCTAATAATGACGGGAAATTGAAAATCAATTATATTGTGAAGTTGATCACTTCGAGTTCGTATCTCAAATCAAAGGACTGAACGACGATGCCGCGATATAACATTCATATTCTAAAAAAGTTGGTTGGACATCTAATATTCATACTTGTCGTATCGCACAACAATAGAGTTGCTTTTTTTGACTAAATGCACAGTTTAGATCGGCAAAAAATCGCTGCGAGAGTCTGGATATGCACTCTTGCGCGTGGTGTGGCTACCTCTCGAAAATAATGTCCATCTCATTGCGCAGTTTGACTGGACAACTCGAGGTGTACAAAACGTCTGTGGTTCTACGAATATCTTACTAATGTGCAGACAAGACAATTTCGTAGGAACATAACAAGATTCTGCACTGGTAGTTACCAAGTGCCTGTTGAGCGCAAGATTACAGTACGTATTATATCATCGATAAATGTTAATCATCGACGCATACTAATTGTCAACTTTTTATCAAACTCGTTGCTGACACGAATCAGTTCGGCATACAGTCAGTCACCAAGAGCATCATCATGCTTGAAAGAAACTTGGCTTTGCCATGAATATGATTCAGGTGAAAAGCAATTTTTTGCCGATCTAAACTGTGCATTTAGTGAATGCAGCGACGGTTTTTACGAACGATGTCGAACTCTCTGAATAATATAAATAACTAGACTTGTTAATAAAGTATGTGATTGATAATTGACCGAAAAATATCATCAGAACAATAAACAGTCAATTAAGTTTGATGATATAGTAATAGATTTAATCAATGAATATTCGACTCTGGTTTTGTCAATCTGATTAACCAACAAAAAACGCCAGAACTTCGTGTGAAAGAGTTCGATCCTGATTTTGCTGGTTGTGACGTAATTGTTTGCCGCTTACTATGCATGACGTAATTGCACTTGCACAGTAATAGTAACCCCTATGGAATAGTTTGTGGATTTAAATTCACGAAATAGTGAATTTAAATTCAGACTTTTGTCCGCTACGGCGTGTCATAGCATAACGCAATAATTTTGAGAATATTGAATATTACAATTCATGTGAATTAAAAACTTGCCGCATCACTTGTAGATGTTACTTGTTGCACAAATCATGCAACATTCTCATTAACTAACATATTATTCACACGGATTTTATAACTAGGGGGTTATAAAAATTGTACATAAGTTTCGTTTAGTGTGGCTTTTCGGTTATGGTATATACGGTATCGATGTATAGTAGTATTAATATGAGAATTTTATTTTGATTTAATTATATACAGTACAGTATGTCGATATATGGAATAGCCGTATTCAATATCTCGAAGAAAGTAAATCTTATAACTCTATCCACCTTTATTCCGAAATTCCCTCTCGTCTTCTACCACAAATATCTTCGACCTATTGGCTTACTCTCAAAACCGATTCGGCTTGGCTTCTTTAATAACATTACCTAACTCGCTACCAAATACCTACGTAGCTCCCAACAAAATTACCATTTAAGAAAACTTTTGTATTCTTTCATAATACAAGTAATTAATTGGCTTTACTCGAAAAAAGCTTCCGGTGGTGGAAGAAGGACACCATGTTGTTATTTTTCTGTATAGTAGGATTTTAGGGGTAAATGGTTTAGGTTGAGTGTCTGATATTTTTGTTGGTGGTTTTGCCACCGACCGGTGTATTGTGATGTGGCGAACTTAAAAGGATAGGCGGTTGTTTTTTTCGGATTTAACTGTGCCACATGTGTGATCCGGGAGGGAATTTTGTAATACATGTAGGCGGTACGGTGGGTTATTTACTTTGGAGTATTTTATATAGTGGAGTTGAAGAAGAGTATATAAATATACTTTTTAAAATATTATCTGTATCTCCTACGATATTCCGTTCAAGTTCGATGATGTCGTCCTTTCTGAAACGGTTTATGGCTGGGGAGTCGACGGGGGAGAGGTATGAAGGTTTCTATTGTGATATTAGTTTGAGATTTGTCAGAGTTTAAGAAGAATGCATCAGCTCCGACGTAGTAATCATATTGGTCACGGACCAAAGCGCTGACAGATTTGCGTTGCTTAAAAAAATGATAGGACATAGGAATAGTGGTTGTGGTTGTGGTTGTGGTAGAGTTTTTCAAAGATAGAAAAAAATTAGTATTGTAATGAAAAAGATGTTGCTGTCGTCGTTATGTTTTTGAGCGTCATAAGGAATGGTTGGTTTTCTGGTATTGACGAGCATTTTTGTATGGGAATTAAGATGTTTATTGGTTGTTTGGAATCAGTAAGCGGAAAATGTATTATTCATGTTTGGAAAGGGATTTAGTATAAAGAAAAAATGTTAGTTGTGTGTCTGTAACCTTATTGATGGTAATTTATAATTGGAAATGGGATTTTTATTCGGTAAAGTTTTATTTTTTGTCTTTATATTTACTGAGTACGAGTATTATGGGGGGTGTGCGCGGGGGTAGAGAGTATTATTATGTTACATCAAGGAATGCGTGGCATGTAACATGAAAGGGACGGTTTGAAGGTAATGTGTTTTGGTTCTGCCATAGATAGTGTAAACAATGATGGGAGTCCTAAATACCACGAAAGTAGGAATCACCCATCCGGATGATTATTGGCAGCGGCGTTGTTAGAAATTTGTTTATAATGAGAGTGTATTTACATCGTAATTGTTTTGCCTTGCCTTAATAGTTCTGTCGATTGTGTTCAGAGTCAGTTTGTCGTTGATGAACCATTCGTAGTCTCCGTAAGTTTCGATTTTATCATTGGGGGATGAGGCATTTTGTTTCAGTTCGCCATAATGTCCATGTCCATCAGGAAACAAATCGGAGTACAGAAGTGCTTCAAAGTCGGGATCATGTAAAGAGATTGGTATTTTGTTATCATCTTTTGTACATAGAAATCCTACAGATAAGCGGGTGTAATGAGAATATTCATTGTGAATCTCATCGGGAAAATCGTGTGGGGGGACTATTATGTCTCCACGGTGTGTTTTTTGTCGATCATTCCGAAGACACATAATCACACATATGTAAAATAGAATTTTTCTGCATAATGAAGGTATAGAATGTCATAATCGAACATCTGACATAGTTATAATAAAAATTTTACCTCCCGACTTACTTTGTCGAACAATTTTGCGTTTGCAATGAAATAAACGTTCGTTTTAAAACAATCTGTTGACAAAATTTCATCCGGCAAATATAATAATATTATAGTTTCTTCCCACAATGTGCATAGTTTCTTCGTTGCGACTAGACGCTGGCATGGCCATACTAATGTTAATAACGTTCTATTCATGAACGACTCTTTTTCATTATTGCTACTTTATTTACTAGAGCAACAGTTTTCGAGAAAAGAGGGAAGGAAGATTTTGTAACTATTACATATTAATATTAATATGGGTAATAGTAAAGCGAACGGGCAATGCGAAATCTGAGACTATACCGTTAGCGGGCCACTAAATACAACTTGATACTACCAAGAGTTTACGCAAATGCCAACTGTCTTGGCTGTCAGTAATATATAACATATAACAGTTACATTACCAGGTAAGCTTCCCATTGCAGTACCTTGCGAGAACAAGTTGCGTTATTAATCATGAAGAGTCATGAAGAAATGTGCTTCTGACAAATCTCTCTCATTATTACCTTTATATTATGATAGTTTATTGAGAAATTGGGACGTAATGGTGTATACTATATATAATATGTATAGTCGGAAAATCACTAAATTAGCAACCAAGAATCCAATGCTTACAAACTTACATGCATGTTAATGATAACTGTTGTCGATGTGTATGCAAAAAATTGATATGGAATAGTAAGTATTATTTTGAGTTTACATATAACGATCTGCTTGATTTTTCGCGAAATCAATCTCCGTCATGAAAATCACTAAATCGGCAACCAAGAATCCAATGCTTACAAAACTTACATGCATGTTAATGATAACTGTTGTCGATGTGTATGCAAAAAATGATATGGAATAGTAAGTATTATTTTGAGTTTACATATAACGATCTGCTTGATTTTTCGCGAAATCAATCTCCGTCATGAAAATCACTAAATCGGCAACCAAGAATCCAATGCTTATGAAATTAAGGGATACCTGTCGTCTTTATTGTATAATAATAATACTACTAATACATATTAATGCAACATTTACTATGATCTAAGCTATATTTTATTCAAGGCCGATGTCGGGAAACGTCGTAATAGCGAGTCGTTGGAGGAGTTTGAATAGTGGACAAGTCACTCATGCTCATGGGGACTGTTTCTTCCCTTTGTGATGTGCTGCAGTAAACATTTATCGGGTTCACCAACTTATCTATCTGCATAGACCTGCAGACATCAGGTTCTCTATCAACAGCTGATGGGATGTAGATTGGTTTGATTATAGAAATCCCACCATACTTTGTTGCATATTCACAGTTGTTCATTAATACCCAACACATTTCATCTACTGCATCGGGAAAGCTGATCGATGTGTATTTGTCTGGCAGAAGGCTGAGGCAACCAACCATCCCGTTCTTCATCATCATTTTTAACCAAATGATGTCAACCCCAGTCATGTCTAAAATACCTGATGCAATAGGACGTATTGGGTTGACTGTATTCACTTGACGACTTAAATTAAAAAGCGCCTCATGAAATGTTATCAGTGCAGAACGTTCAGGCTCCTCAACATTGAACATAATCCTGCCCTATAAAATAAAAAGTATTTATTTATAAATAAAGATGCTACACAAAATGATAACTGATTTTTAATATTATCAATATCATTATTACTTACCAAATCGTTTATCATATTATTCATATTGCTCAGGATCTCATCACCATTGGCCTGAAACTCTGCTATCACCTAAAACACATTAGTAGTAATAATAAATGAGTTAGTTTATAATAATAAATGAAGACAATGTTTCTGTGTTAAAATATCAATACTCACTCTGGTGTAAATTTTGCCAGCATTGTCAAAAATAGCCATTATTCTATCCTAAAATATAAAAGGAGAAAGATTGTTAAAAAAAAGGCACCCAATAAAGAATTAATTAACAGGATTGGTGATATAAGTTGTATTAATATGAATTTTTCATATTCAATAGATAAGTCTCCCTCTCATTAACATGACTTAACATCGAGAGTACCATCACAAACAATAAGGAGCATGGCATGGATCCAGGCCAACAATAAATGTTTATCACCATTCCCGATTCATCATTCAAATACAAATTTGATAAAATAAAATAAGACTTACGAAAGACAAGTTTCCAAGTGCTTGCAGTTGTCCACCAATCTCTGTACGCAGTTTGCTATTTGCTGGCAACATAGCTTGCGCCTTCCTCCCCTCATTAAAGAAACCATTCTTTGCTGCCGTTGCACATAAGCCTTCAGCACTTCCCAAGAGTTTCTGCCAAACAACCCATGACTCAAAGGAAAGGATTTGTGGGTTACTGGATTGATTGTTGATGAAGTAGTTCATGGACATGGTTATGAGTTTTTTGAATAATATTATGAAATGGGATGTAGATATAGGGTGGTATAATTTGTTCAGTTTCTATGTGAGCGGCACATGGCCATATTCGATTAGCGGTGAAGTCGTTGTCTTGTAATAGTCGTGCGGCAAGAGAATGGTATGATCGTAAGTATGGATTGTTTTCTTGTAGCCATTCACAAGCTTCCCTTAAAGAAGGATGAAAGATTTTCGGGAGAAACGCACCCAGCATTCCAGAATACGAATTGACTTTTAATTGATCGATATTCTGAAATAAGCAGGCTTGAGTGCAAATATACGGGCGGCAATATTTGTACCAACGAAGGTGACAATTTACACGATGCGCATACGGCTACTTTTGTACTATTGCGTGGTAGTTAGGGATATACGTGTATATAACAAACTTTACGTTCGTTTTGAATGTTCGCAACATAGTTTTTAAACCATACGAATTTTTTTACACACTGTATCTGACAACTAACTTGTGCGAACCTCATTGCTCGGTTTCAGATTTTAATTGTTTTGATTGTAAAGCTGTTATTTTTGTAAGTATTGTTTATTTATGCCAATTAAAGAATATAACTGATATATGTGAGGAGAAAAACCTATGGGCTTGCATTTTACTCTTAACAAACGGTGAGCTGCTAATATAGGAATGATGAATACTATTGCAAGGGACACTAGAATATGTATGGAACTTAAAAGCATACTCAGTACTCATTGATCGAAGTTCAGCCAAATTAGCCATTAAGAATCGGTATTTTTTAAGTTTAATACAGAACGTTGTTAATACTAAGAGAGATGGCGGCAAGTAAATTGTTTTCGTGTTCATATCGGAATAGTTTATCAGAGTGAAATGCTACCCTAAGCGATGTGTTGTACCAGTATGTTCAAAGATCCACGAAACCAAATGTTCAAACAATGCCTATACAGTGAACTAAATAAAAGCAAGCCTCCAGAAACTGTTTGATTTCTGGCAGTACCGCTCTCACCTTCTGCGGAACTATTATTATGTGGGAGGGTAATAGTTTTAATTTTGATCAGTTGATCAAAGCATCAGCTGATCTCCGGGTTAAATTTTTCTGGTGTTTTTCGTCCGCCTTCTGCAGCATGAGGTCACTAAGCCTTCTATCACAGTCTAGCCTTCGGCATTCTGAGTCTCTCACCGGTGATCATGCATGCTTGCATGTTAATCCAGAGACCAATGACGTTTACTTGGCCGGATTAGAAGATACAGAGTATGTGTTGTCGAAAATTGTATACATTCAGGTATGAATATCAATATAATTTACACAAGGTGCACATTGATCTTCCTTTATATAATATGCATCAATTGCATTTGATACCAGGATGGGTCTACACTTAAACCTTACAAACAACAAATATTGGGATTCCCCGCAGAGGAGATCGTGGATATACATTTTCTGATTGACACTCAGACTGTCTGTATTGCCTTTGCTAAAGGAGCTATTGGCGTGATTGATGGTGATCAGGTATTTAGTAAAGAATGTGTTGATGTCTAACGTCTTTTTTAACAATGATCACCGTCAAGTCAATGCTAACCCGTTAATTGACACAATCATCAAACAAGTATGATGTCGTAGGAGAAGTCGAATCTGGAATAAGGTGTATGGAATGGAGTCCTGATGAAGAGTTAGTTATCATTGTAAGCGGTATGTTAATGTTTATTATACAAAATAGTCGTAGAGCACGGTATCAGAACATTGTTATAAAGTACAACATCAATTTATAACGGTAAGACTTGCTGGTTTCTTACAGGTGTCGGCACTATCATGATAATGACAAAAGACTTTGATGTGATTACCGAGTTTCCTGTTAATGTCGATGAGGAGGGTGAAGGTAATCAAAATAAGGCTATCATATTATCCTGGCAACGGGTTCACGATATGCGATAAAGCTCTTGTATTCGTTCCTTAAAACGTACTGTCTAATATCTTCATATAATCCCTCAGCTGCACCAATATCCCTCGGCTGGGGTAAGAGAGAAACACAATTTCATGGTTCAGAAGGCAAACAGGCAGCACAGGTCAAGTTTGATGTCTCGAAATACACCAAGTCACCGGACGACGATATGAAAACACGGATATCTTGGTGTGGAGATGGAAGCCTTTTCTGTTGCTCTGATTACGACTCCACGAAAGGTCAGCTATATTGATACATAGAACCGTCAATTAAACAGTTTGATCGGTTGTGAGAAGAAAGGTGATCTAATATTAAGTTTGTAACTGGGGTAGGAAGGAGGATAATACGAGTATATAACAGGGAAGGAGTATTACAGAATACTAGTGAGCCAGTTGATCAGTTAGAACACATTTTATCATGGCGGTAAAGACATGTCTATCTTGTTTAGTTTTCATGTATTGCTCTTATTCTTTTATCAACTCAATACTTTCATAATATCCTAAAGTCCCGCCGGAAACTTGATAACTTCATCACAGCGCCTTCCTCATCGTCATATAATCTGTTTCTTCGAACGCAACGGATTACGACATGGTGAATTTGTATTACGCGAAACCGGAGAACATAGATTAGTCGAAGTCGCGTGGAATTGCGATTCGACTGTTCTTGCTGTCTGGCTGGTGAGAAAAGAGGGAACCTCATCAGGTGAGAGACAAGAGAAGATACGTTGATATTGGCAATTCGTAATACGCACAATTTACCCTGACCGTCTATTCTATATATAATAAAGTGCAGTTGTGGAGTATGAATAATTATCACTGGTACCTGAAGCAAGAAATCAATAGTAGTGCAGACGATCAAATTGCTGCTATTCAATGGGACACTGAGATTTCGTTGAGATTGTATTTGGTTACAAAATGTAATACAATGATTTACAAGTTATGCTTACTTGCAATAATATTGTTAATATTGTATCTACATTTATCATAGCCGCCTATCATCGGTTGGACTACTCGTGGAAGGTTTTCTGTTCACCGATACTATCTCCGCATAACAATGCAGCAATAGCCGTGATTGATGGATGTATCCTTTCATGTCATTACGTTGTACAACTACAACATTCGTTCTCCACCACCATATATTATTACCTTAATTCGTGCCATTGACTCGAATCAATAATCAACCACAGCCTCACTGCTCCTAACTCCATTCAAACACATGAACGTTCCACCACCAATGAGCGCGTTTGCACTCTCCCTCCCTGCTCCGGCATCTTATGTTTCATTTGGGCCGTTTGATAGATGCAATGATTTTAGCGTTCTTCTCAATAATTCTCAACTTGCTCTTTTCGACTGGACTATGGAATCAAACCAACCGCACTCGCCACCAATAGAAACAGGAATGGTTGACTTGAGCGAATATGAAAGTATTAGACAAGTGTTATGGAAGGATCAAAAGACTTTTGTATTTGTGAATGCACCTGGCATCGAGGACAAGGAGGAAATTGTCATGATCAGAATAGATATTGGGGAAAAGCAAGGGCAAGATGACGAGGAAAAAACTAAAAAGCTAATGGTGGTAGAAAGATTCGTTTTAAAGTTGGAGAAGAGCGTGGTTAGGTTGTGGAAGAGTGGGTCCTTGGAGAGAGTGTTTATCGAAGATTTTGATGGTGATGTATATGAAGGTTAGTAGAAATCTGCGAATTGATGAAAGAAAAATACGTATATGGAAGGGGACAAGATATGGCCTTTTATATATATTTACAAATATTATTACACCCATCTTCAAATGCCGTTTACCTTCTTGCAGTCCTCTTCAACACAGAAACCTCGCCAACATCCATATCACTCTCGTCACTCGTAACACACCTTCCTGAACCATGCCCATATGTCGCATCTATCGATCTGCCAACAAGCACGGAAACCCCAATCATAATAGCTCAGAGTGAACGCAACAAGTTATACGCAAATGACCGATTAATTGCGGCAGACTGTACGTCCTTCTTTATCCACAACAAGTTTCTTATATTTACTACGCTAAATCACCATGCACGGTTTCTGAGTATAAGTACGGATGATGAGATTAAAGGTGAATATAGAGGAGAAAGGAAAGGGCTACAGTGTAAGTTCGAATAAGATATGTAACTGTAGCTTTCTTGCAATAGAGCTCGGAAAAACGGTTTTGGTGACGTCACCAAATGTGAAAGACGAAACAACGAGACGCGTTGAAAGAGGGTCAAAAATAGTCATTGCTGTCCAATTCGGTACATCGTTAATACTGCAGGTAATTACACATAATGCAATATGTACTGGCTAACTGGTTAAACATGCATAACCAACGTCTACGTTATCAATGCCCACTATATATGAAGATGCCTCGTGGTAATTTAGAAACCATTCATCCTCGCCCTCTGGTTCTCTCTACTGTATATGCTTCCCTCGATGCGCTCGATTACCGCCCTGCACTCTTGTCTTGCCGCAAACATCGCTTAGATCTCAATATCATTCATAACTATGCGCCTCAGATATTCCTACAGAATATCGGAAAGTTTGTAAGAGATGTTGATAAGACAGATTTATTTAATTTATTTTTATCCAGTTTGAGGTGAGTTAAAATTGCGTTGTGCTACATTGTAACATGTGAACAGATTTGCTCACATGTTATCCCACGTGTCATGATGCTTTGTTACACAAGCTTATCGAAAATTAACTATAAAAACATGATTTTTTCATTTCAAGTGGTGACTCTAGTACAGTAAATACAATATGCGATACTATTCGCGGAGTACTCGAGTCTGCTGATTTCAAAAGGTATATACAGCCGATCCTCACTACTTATGTAAAGAAGACACCGGCTGACCTTGAGGGTGCACTGAATGTGTTGGCTGATATAAAACGTAAGGTTCATAATCAGCAAATGTCAACTAGATATTGGAGATGTAATAATTTGAAAATGTCGATTATTAGAAAAAGATTCGGCCTTGGCAGAATCGGCATTAAAGTATATGATATTTCTTGCCGATGCTGATCGATTATACGACATTGGACTGGGAATGTATAATTTTAGCCTTGTGTTGATGGTCGCTCAACAGTCACAGAAAGTACGTATTAATATGACAAGCGCGTGCGTGATTATAAAAATTAAATTGTGATATGTAATTACTCACGTACAATGTGATTGTTTTATATTCGCAGGATCCTCGAGAATATCTTTCATTCCTGACCGAAATTCAAAAGCACGATAAATATTATCAACGGTTCAAAATAGACGATTATCTTAAACGACACGAGAAAGCAGTGAGAAATTTAGCATTGGCTGGTAAGTGAGTCAAAGATGAGCGTTTTTTTTTCCAAGGAAGCTGGAAATAATTAGAATAGGTATGAATTACCTTTGAGCTTACCGCCACATCGCGAGATAACTTGTAATAATGGCAAATTTTTAATAATAGGAGACAAGCATTTTGATGAATGTTTAAAGTATACGCAAAGGCATGGACTCTATTTGACTGCACTTGAATCGTTTGAGAAAAAGAGCGACAAGTACAAGGTATGATTTCGAAATGATGACAATATGTGATTTCAAATAGAATCTGGTTGTAATTCGTTCTGCTATGTTTATCATTAGGCTGTAATGGCTCTATATGGCGATTACCTTACGTCAGAACACAAGTATGAAGAGGCTGGAGTTGGTACAGTATTTTTGTGGAATATATCAGTATCTATTGTAAATTATTAGATGTCAGTCTGATATACAGTTATATTATGTTTTCTACAAAGCATACAAGTTATCAGAAACTCCTCGCAAAGCTCTCGAGGCATACAAGGCAGCGGGCTCATGGCGAGAAGCTATCATAATTGCTCAACAACTACAATTTTCACCGGATGACATATTGGACCTTTCTAGAGAAATTTCCGGTAACATTAAATAACTTGCACACGTTGAATAACGAATAATTTTACTAAAGTACTACTCACCTGTCATGACAGAGATATTGGTTGAGAAGAGACAATATGCAGATGCAGCAAGAGTGCTTTTAGATTATACAGGGGTATGTTACAGTTTTTGTGTGTAATGCGTATATATCAGCTTGTGTAGTCATTATTTTGATATCATTTAGGATCCCGAAGAGGCCATACCTTTACTCGGTAAAGGTTATCAATGGAGCGAAGCCATTCGTATCGTAAGTAATCCACGCGTACGGTTTGCTACACGGCCATAGTTTTCTCTGTATAAACATGGGTCTTATTTAATATTCCCTAGTGTCAACTACAAAATCGACGAGATTTGATAGAAACACACGTAAAACCAAGCATAAGTGAAGGTATAAGAAATTTTTACGCGTTTTGTGTTCCCAAGGTAGTTAAATTCTGATCGATGCCGCGTATATTCGTTTCTTTGATTAGGCTACGAACATGTTATAGAAGATATAACAGAGATGTCGGCTCAATTCCATAAACAAACCAAGAGACTTGTTGAACTTAAAGAAAAGCGAATGACACATGAAGAAGGTAAATGGTGATACATGTGCCTTTTGTTACAAAAAGTAGAATGTTGGATACACTCAACGTACACGTTTGCATGTGAGATGAATTTAATTGAATTAACTTGTCACACTTTTCACACTTTTCACACTTTTCACTTACAGATTATACAGTCGATCACTCAATTGACAACGTCGATATTATGTCGGATACAAGTTCAATGGCAAGCGATTTTACTCGATATAC